TAATTTAAAATTTTGTTTTTATTTATATTTTTCAATTATTCGTCTGAAAAATTTGTTTATATTAATTTATCTATAATAATATACATATGGAGCATTGTTTAACTGTTTTTTTTATAATTGACTACAGTTTAAATTTGATTATTTTTACAAAACACAGTGATTAGTTTTCCATTAATACATTATCGGTACACTGCAAATTCTAGTTAACGTTGAAAGGAAAATATGATCTATATCTGCTTATTCTTTAATAAAACCCTCCTTAAGAAATTAACTAATGAGACGTTTTAAAATTATATTAATTAATTAATTAATACAATATACAATGAAAAAAAAAAAAATCAGTAGATAAAAGGATTTTTCTATGAAATTTATTTAAAGTTGTGTCATATATAGAAAATATAGATTCGCTATATTTAGATACATAGAGATTAGTATTTTACGTCATACGTCAAAGGTATTTTTTCATGAGACCATCAAAATAAAAAAAAAAAAATAAATAAAAAAAAATAGAGAAATACTCTATCAAGACCTTTAAATACATTGGGAATGGTTCTTGTACGAGATTATATTCTATGATGAATGGGATTTTATCTTTGAACAGAAATTTTAAACCTACAGTTACAATAGTATATTCCCTCCTCCAGAAACATATTTAAGTATTTGATTTTTTTTTTTTTTTTTGCAACTGTAGTCCAAGATAAATTATTGTAATAACGGCAGATTTTTTTTTTCCAAAATCCATGATCGATGTATATTTCACTAAAAAATAAAAACACCATTATTATAGTTGAATTAATGTAGCTGTAGATTTAGTGTACGTAATAGCATGATCAAAATATATTTTCCTGTAGTGCCCGTATACATATTTTATATTATATTTTGTGATACATTCATTATTGTTGGGAAGAAACAATTTTATTTTAAATGTATTATAATATATTATAATTAAAAATATTAAACCAGTTGATATGTAGTTATTTTTATTATTGTTAAATTTTATTGTTCATGTAACGCGTTTAAGAATATTATACTTAATAATTTTTAAGTGTGATAATAAATTAAAATTTACTTTGAAGATAATTATTAGGTATTACGTATTAATGTGAAATAAGAATTTAAATTGTATTTATATAATTTTTCACCTAAGATAAATAATAATAGTTAATATAAAATTTTTAGTGAATATTATACATTGTTACAAAAAAATAATTAAATGTATATATTATTTTATTTATAGGATACTAACAAATTTTTCGTTAGTAATATGTTCGGTATAAAAATATACCGATCGAGATTTTGTTCTGTAATTTGTATTTTATGACAACATATACCTACTCTTATTAAAAGTATATAATATATTTTTTAACTAACGATTATTGTGTTAGTTGTATTTTATTATATTTGAAGCTTATTTTTTATTTTTTGCTTTATATTCAATAGTTAATATATAATATAATATAATATAGTTCAATAGTTTATGTTTTTTTTTTTTCTAATGATTCTTTATTTATCAATCATCTAGTCGTTAGACGAAAATGATCAAAATCTAATTGTAAAGCTAAATTTAAAGATCTTTCATATAAAAGAGAATTACTGGTTGGTATATTTAAACTTTAAGCATGTTGACAACCATCGTAAAAAAAGACATCTAAATTTTGTCCACACCATTCTTGATTTATGGAATGAGACAACTGTTGTTCTTCGTATTCAACTATTCACTTACAATTTTTTAAAATTTGGTTTAATACGACTTCACTTTGCTAATATATTTCTAATTTATAAAAACAAAAAAGTAAATCTTTTTTTTTTTTATTGGTAAATTTTTCCGTTTACTCTTTACATTTAAGTTACAAATTTAGACAATATGAACTACAAAAAATTTAATTTTTCTTATTATTAGATAAAATTAAGATATTCCTTAACTATAGCCTATTTATATCTATGGATGAAAAAAGAAAATTTACAGTTTTATCACAATAATATGGATTTAACTTAAGTTAATGGATGCAGTATGGCGTTTACAGTAATAATAAGTAATAATATTTATATATTTATATGATAATTGTCATATAATTTAGCAATGTTTAATGCATTGAGTGCTTTAGGAAGAAGTGCTTGATAAATTGAAGATTTCAATGTTGAGTTGGATGAGTGCAGAGATTGTAGTGATTTACACTTGATGATCTTGGAAGAGTACTATGGACATTTTTTGCTAGTGTTTTTATATGGTCTTTAATTTCTTGAATTTAAAGATCTTTGTAGAGATTGACATTTCTAACGAATCATGGGGTATTTGCGATTATTTTCAGTATTTTGTTTTGGACAATATGAATTTTTTTAATGTGTGAGGATGCACAATTACTTCATACTAAGTAAGCATAGATGAGCAGTGAACGTATAATTTGTTTATAAATTAGAAGAGAGCCTTTTTTAAAGTTGATTTTTTATTTAGAATAGGTTAAAGCATTGAAATGCGTTGGTAAACTTGTTTAACTTAAGATAAAATGTGGGGTTACCACATGAATCGTTTATCAAGAGTTATTCCTAGGTATTTGACCGTAGGTTGCTAGGGTATATTTTCATTTTCAAAATTGAGTTATGGGGGAGTAACGTAACGGCTTAAGCTAAATATAACTCTTATGCTCTTAGAGGAGTTAATTTTAACCACCAGTTTCGACACCAGTGCGAGAAGGTATTTAAGTGGTCTTGTAGATCTGTTGTTATTGCTTCGATGTTGCATGATTCTATAAAGATGGTTGTTTTGTCTGCGAAGAGAGCACGTGTTTTTGGATGGTTTTTGCAGTTTTACGACTTCTGCGCAGTGTAGGAGTATGTTAAGAGAAAATATAGCTATGGATGGTTCTGATAAAAATATGGTTACAATAGATAACGGATTTTTAAATCGGTTTTGGAGTCGTGTAACTGAGGTTATTTCAAATTTTAGATCTAAGAGCTCGTTATATATGTATGATTCTTCAATATTAACTTCAATATTCTTCAATATCAATCTTTAATATGAAGGTTTCTAATAATTATCGATAGTTGTTTGCTTTTGGGAAATTGAAATGTATGGTACTCAATTTTGGATTCGTCAAAATATTTTTTTGTGGTTCTGTAGTCTTCAATAGAGTCCAGATTCAGTTTTAAGGCAGATTTTGTGTTAGTAATGGGGAATTCGTTGAGGGCTGAGTTGTCTAATGGCTTATGGAATTTAATAATGTCCGAAATGTAGACGTATATTGGGGGAATTTTTGTTCTATCCCGTAATTTATGGGTGTTGTTTTTTTTATTGTTGTCGTTTGTTGTACTTGGGAATGTTTTAAATTAATCCGATTCCTTAAGTTCTAATGTCGAATAACGATTTGGTGTGTAGAAAAGGGATGATTTTTCATTTGAAGTGCTGCGAGTCCTGGTGGTTTTTCTCGGCGATCTAAATTCGTCATCCAAATTTGGGAACTATAAATTGGGGTCATTATCATTTGACATGAGTCTGTTTCTACTTATGATGAGTGGTGGGACTTTTTTTTTTATTATTACGTGAATTTGGTCGAGATGTGTTTCTGTATTGGAAGTAGTTGGGTCCATTTCGGATAATAATATTAAACTATTAATAGGCTTGTGCCCGTATTCAACGGTTGCGAGCTATACGGTTCGTGTTTGCATGCTTTGAACCCAATTAAAATGTTGTACACATACAAGGTATGCGCAGCGCGGCGTAGACGTTTAATACTGTTATCGGAAGCTATAAAGCGGTCCGTGGCAATTAATGTGTGGACTATTCGGAGTCCCTACGTATACTGTTGACAAAAATTAAATGAAACGACGTGATGTCCTACTATAGTTGAAGCTGAATGATTTATTATTTATTTATTTATTTATTAAAAATATACGGATTTTCTCTTTTACATTAAAGTAACAATAACATTTAATAATAGTAGGGCATTAAATAAATTATAATAAGTAATACAATAATATAAGTAAATATTAAAACAGTATAGCCATTAAGATATTACAGTTGTATTCAGTGGCGCCCAGACAGGTTACCAAGAAGTGCAATTGCATGTGCTCTCGTCGGTGGTGGGTGTATGAGTGGGTTGGTGGGTATATAATTGGATAATTTTGATATCAAACATTATGGAGTATGGTAAGCAAATAACATTATTATTATATCATAAACATTATACCTATACGGCACTGGGTGTAGGCATCTTAATTTTAATTAATTATAATAAATCTTAATTTCTTAAATTTATAGTTTTTTTAAGAATTAATTACAGTTACAGACAACGATTTAAACGAACTTTTTTTTTTTTTTTAAATACTCAGTGGGTGGGTAGGTAACTATTTTAGTTGCTTGTACTCTTAAAATACTTCTGTGCGCCACTGGTTGTATTAGTTATATTATAGTTTATAAAGAGTGTATTAAAATAAATGAACATCAAATGAGAGGTCCTCATTGGCGAGTGATATAATTTGTCGTAGAGGCTCATTTTGTAAATAATTTGTGTTTGCATTAGAAATATAGAAGGTTTTTTATGAACGAGATGCATGCGAAAGAAATTTAAAATTGATTTAGGATAGCAAACACGGAGAATCTTTATGGTTAGTTATTAAACCACAAATACATTTTATATTTAGTAAGAGTAGGAAGATCAAGTACTTTAGTGATAATTGTATAATCGTGAGCTAAATGGAGAATACCTAACACAAAACAAAAAAATCTCAAAAATCTTTGTTAAATTCGTTGAAGTTGATCAGAATCAGAAACAGTGTAAGAATCTCAGATTACAGATCCGTATTCTAAAATAGGACGAACTAAAGCAAAATATAAATATTTTAGTGATTTAGTTAATTTGAAGTATTTGGATGGACGCACTAGGAAACTTAAAACTTGGTGTACAAGAAATAATTGTAATATGAGGACTTGAAATAAGGGTTCTAGATAGTTTAAAACCAAGATCAACTATATCATGAACGCGTATAATTTTCAAACCTGAGATATAGTAGTTACAAGTATATAGAATCGCACAATCAACAGCTGAGTTTATTTCCATAAAGAGCTTCATGTCATCTGCGGAACATAGTAATTTACAAAAAGGCAAAGTAATACGTACACTATTGATTATTAGTGAAATAAGATCGGTGATAAATGTCGACCTTGGTGTAACCCAGACGTCGACGAAAAACTGTTTGATTTTATGTCAAATAATTTTACTCACTGTTGCTTGTTCGTTAAAAAAGATCCAAACCATGATAGCAGAAGTTTTCCAAAACCAAACGCTTCTAGGTAAAACTTGGTGGTTTATAGTGTTAAATGTTTTGGCTAAATCAGTAAAAATAATATCAACTTGAGACCGTTTTTGAAAACACTGAAACACAAAATTAAATAAACTAAGTTGCAAGTAGTTGTTGATTTACCCGGTAGAAATATACAATATTTTACAATGGTACACTGATAAGTTAAATTATTATATTATTTTATCATTTATCAAGTATAAAATCGATATGAATGATTATAAAAGTGATTCAATTATCCAGTATATAATGATTTGAATAAAATGCCAATTTATTATAAGATTCGGCTGTGGGCTTCTTTTTTGATTCAAATAAATGGTTCATTTTATAAACTATTGATCAAATTAAATTTAACTCACTGTAAATAATTATTCACCATTCAGTAATATCTTAATTTTATATTTTATTATTTAAAATAAAGTCTTATGCGATGTTGTGTCATCATCATAAAGACGGATGGTATTAGAAAAGATTGTTTACATACTTATAAATTATATATTACAAACGACAAAACCAAAACGTAAACGAACATATACAAACAGCCAATGAAACTCAGGGATCACGGAATATTTCCTTTATTATGCTTATTTGTTGAACTTTTTTAAGCTTGATAATAATGATAATTTTTGGTACTTACCAACGAGAGAATAGGGAGGTAGAAGAGAAGTACGCTGAATTTGGACTCCCTCAGAACTAAAAATAAAAAAATAAAATATAATATGGCATATACATTGTATATAGTACTTAAGTAATTCTTTACTAAGCATAGGTTTTACATCGAAAACGAAGAAGTTGTGTATAAGGTGGGCTTTATGTATATATTTTTGATAATTGTTTACAATATAATAGAGGATAATGGAGATACAAAACATTTGTATTTATAAAATCTGGCAGGAATTAATGTATGTAAGAAATGTGAACATACATTTAAATATATATATATATATAAGCATATTTATAGTAAATATATAGTAGGTACATAAAATATAATAATTTGTATTTTTAATTTACAATCTAGAACAAGGATTATTGATGTTATGTTGTTATGGTGTGCATAACCTACACAATTGGTAGACAATGAATTATTTTGATTATAGTTTTGGGCAGTAGTATCATTAATTTATACTTTACACATTAAATGAATGCTCTAATATCAAGTATTAGTAGTAATAGAGTAATGAATAAGTATTAAAAATGTATATTTTAGAATTATCAGTAAATTGTTTTCCACGTTAGTTAAAAACTGTGTGGCACGCTAAAAAAATATAGCGTTGTTGATTATTTTAATATTTTATTAATAGAACTCAAGTATTAAAAAAACTTTTCATTTTTTTAATGAATATTCAGTTACCTCCAGGGTCCCGCAACGATCCTATTTAGGTTCACTTATTTTCTTAATACCTGCTAATAAATAATCTCCCCCATATTTTAAAAGCCCAGTAAACATTGTATTGTTTGTTGACGATGTTAAAAATCAAAATTCGAATTTCATATTTTAAAAACTTAAACTTTTTGTAATTAATTTCAAATAAACTTATATAATATGAAGTGAATAAAAAAATAATATATATATTAAATTATGATAAATGTAAAATTATACATTTTTTGCTCTGCAAAAGTCCTTTTATACATATATTTAATTATTTTCTCTTAAAATATATTAATCAATTAAGATATTTTAAATCAAATTTGTCATTCAAATTGAAAAATATATATTTATATTTATATAATAATATTATTCAAAATAATTTTAGGCTTTATATTTAGAAACTATAGTTTTTGAAATGTATTTTGGTATAAAAATTAGTTCTTTGGCAATATCGAATCAAGGATTTAGCTCTTATTATTTTGGTTAATATTTAGTAAGGGGGTTGGAGCGTAGCATGTTTTAAGGAGTAATATTTAGATATTTTATATAACATGAACATTTTGGTTGTGTCAATGTGTGAGTAGTATATGAGCAATAAGCTCGATTCACACTAGCGGTCTTGGTTCGGTCCGGTCACGGTCAAGGATTATAATGTACAGTTCTCATTACCGGTCACAATCAGTCAAGTTCTATCTGCATGTTGCCACAATGTGTACAAAAGTGTTCAAAAAACAATCAAAACACTGGATACAAGTCAACAGCCGTGTTTATCTCGGTCATATCCATTGTTTTGATAGTTTTTTGAACAATTTTGTAAACTTTGTGGCAACGTGCAGATAGAACTTGACTGATTGTGACCGGAAGTGAGAACTGTACATCATAATCCTTGACCGTGACTTGACCGTAACTGGATAATGAGTATACATAAAATACTAAATAACAAAACCTTTAGACCTCCAAATACAAAAATAGCAATATAATTTATTTGAAATGTGCAATTGCCCTTGTACTTAGTAATAGTAATTATGATTACGTTTGAGATGCTGCTGTCCATCTTTTATTTAACATTTTATTTTTTTCGTAGAGATTCCGTCTTTTGGACTCATACTTTTAGCTGATGGTGGACATTTTATTTCAACTGAAGCATTGTCCACAAGACCATCAAGAGATGCTGCCAAAAATGATAGACTATGGTCTACTATAAGGCCAGCATTTTTTATATTTTTCCCTATAACTTTTTGTAACTGTTCTTTGGCCATGTCTTCATAGTGGATTCCATACCTAGTGGCAGCATTACCGGTAAAAAATTATAAAATGTATTAAAAATATATATATATATATATATATATAAAATTTAAAAAAAATTGTATATATATTAATAATTATAGCTATATAGATTTACATATTGATAACTAATAAAGATAAAATAAATAATTATAAATTATAATCTCATATATTATTTATACTCAATGTTTTGCCACGATTTTTTAGTTTGTAAAAAAAAAATATATTATAATTACATCATCATTTTATTCATGATCTTCCCGGTTTTTACGTTTTAAGTTAGCCAAATTAGGGTTTTTCTGTGGTACACATAGCTTGAGACGTGTGCTTTTTTACCAAAACGTCAATCTTTATTAATTTTAAAATTTAAAATTATAATCACTGACAAAAAAATAAAACTTTACAGGTTAGTCTAGATGTCGTATGAAACTAGTGACTGAGTAGACTAATATTCTATTTTGTGTTATCGTAAAATAAATTTATTTATAATTATATATTTTATACTTCACAATTACAATACATAATCATTTTTATTTCCGTAGTCGTTAGCTCTAATTGATTTATAATTGTTCAGAATACGGGTATTGGCTACTAAGATTCTTAGAAATGTTCCAACGCCCATACGCACATGCACAAGTCAATTGATACGAAGAAAATATTTTTGCTCCGGTTGTAGGGCAGAAATTTGATGCAAACCGTACCGAAAGAAAAATAAAATTTCACCTAGTATCGATTGACTTGTATTAATTTTGAAAACATGATTGAATTCGTTAGTCTATTTCCTAGGTTTGCTTGGAAATAGATTTACGACTTTATTTTTAGTTAATATACGAGTATGATAAATAGTACGTTTATATTTTTCTCAAAATAAACGTGTACTTGACTTAGTTGTAGGTAGCGACAAAATGAAAAATATAAGATTCCACTTCCGAGTAAACTTAGAAAAGAGGAAGACAAACCAAAATTAGTTTTCAAAATTTAAATTGAGCTACTGGAAGTATGTTTAATTTACTTTCGCTTATTGAGTTAAATGTTTGGAAAAAAAAATGATTGCTCCAGCCTCCATAAAGTGTCATCGTAGTATAATGATTTGCACAATAACCAACATTTTTTTTTTTTTTTTTTTTTTTAATGGAAAACATACGTGAAGTTTTTTTTAGAATAAATTTAATAATTAAGTATCTAAAAAAAGACATGATACTTATTTTTAATATCAATCACTGATGTACAAATGGATTAACAAATTTCCTTAAGGCAAGCATCTGTATCAAATTCATCAACCAGTGGGCAAAGGTATACATGATGTTATTGCAAAATAATGTTCACCACAAAAAAGTGCGGTTTTAGAAATGTTGGCATTTTATGCAGTTCAAAATGTTATGACAGTTTGTGATGTTGCAATAAGTAGATCAATTTTCACTATTTTTTAAAATAATAATTTTTGTATGGCAAAACCATAATTTAAATTAATAATACAGGTATAATATTGTTCGATAATAATAATTATAAATAATACAAGTAATTGTTAATATTTATAACTAAACATAATTTCTATTTTATATTATTGTCCTTAATACTATATTATAAGTATAATGTTATGTTTAAATACGTGACCTATGTCAACATTAACCAAAACCGTGTTGTGTATGTCAAAATTGACTAAAATCCTAATGTAAATGTCAACATCCACTAGTACATATCTATATTATTATAAACATTTTCAACATTCACCAATTTAGTAGGTGTATGTCGATATTCACTAGGTGATTAGGTCAGCACTCACCAATTGCGGACATTCCCAGTAACATAAAATCATGAATCAACCAGGGTTTCATTCCCTAAAGATGAGCCGTGCAGCCATAGCTAAATTCACTAGATTACGCACGGGCCATAGCCTATTATCACACCACTCGTTTAAGTTGGGACTCAACAGTAGTGCGTGTTGTCCCCTACCCAACTGTGGTGAAGAATACTGTGATTTCCATCAACTACTCATAAATTGTCAATCTCTCTCTATCCAAAGATCTCAGCTAAAGATTCTCTTTTTCATCTCTGGTATTCATTTTTCCCTTATTGATGCTCTTTCAACCGACAATACTAATATAATCAAACATATGCTAAATTTTATTCTGCAATCAGGTCTCCGAATTTAAGAGTGTGAGCTTTACCCACCATAATTTATTTCAGATTCATGTACATAATTGTCGAGATATCATAATGTAACGTTAAAATCTCATTAATTAAAAAAAAAAATATATATAAAATCATGATTATGTTCAATATACATTTTTGAAAAAAAAAATATCTATAATATATATCCATTGTTATATTTTTAGAGATTATATTCGTTTACTTAATTTATAAAAGTATTAATTGTTTTTCTAATACATGTGATTTAATGGATATAGATCTTATTTTTGATATTTGAAATGGCAATATCAGCAACTCAGATATTTTAAGTTTAATTAGATTCAGAATCCCTGGTTATTATACACTACGTTTAAATATATTCTACATACTAAAATTATTAAATCTATATGGTTCAGAGTGTTGGGCAGTTGACAGGAAAATAGAACGGAATATGAGTGTTGTGGAAGTAAGAATGCTTAGATGGATGAGTGGAATGACAACAGAAGATTTAATAAGGAACGATGTGAGAAGTAGTATTGGTGTAGCATAGATAATGGACAAGATGAGAGAAAATAGATAGAGATGGTTCGGGCATTTTGATGCTAATGAGGCGAGAAGAAATAAAAATAGTAAGTTATAGATGGTTGGATACTATTGAGAATGATATGAAGGCCGTTGGTGTATTCGTAGGGGATGTGAAAAATCGAGACGAGTGGATGATTAAGATAAAGGTAACCGACCCCAAATAGTAGAGAGAAAGGCAAAGGACAAGAAGAAGACATATTTAAATATAAAACGAACAATGACAAAAATTAATTTAGTTTAAAAGTTTTTTTAACTTTAAAAAATGTTTTCACCATTTTATTTATTTTTTTTATTCAATGTTTTTAAAGTAAAAAATCTAATATTTTTGAAATATAAAGCTAAAATATTTATTTTTTGTATTTATATGTAAATATATCGTCATTTATTTATTTATTATTATATTTATAATAATACCTATTATTTTTCATATGCTAATATAAAATTTTATATTTGATAATCTATAATAAATAAATATAAATTAAATATTCGCTACTGATGGGACATGATGTGGATAGTATTGATTGGTTAATATTTTTTAAATAATTTTTTTTTCAGAATTTATGTATAATATTATATAATATTATACTTCTTCACGATAATTATGCTTTAGTATAATTAATCATGATAATATAAGGCAATAAGTAAATTTTAATAAATTAAAAAATATGTAAAGTTAATTTAGTATTGTGCTGTTATAAGTGGTGTAAACATTCTAAATTATAGATTAGACAGAAAATACTTTTAATATTTTTACTATCTCTTTTAAGACATTAAAGATTTAAAGAGGTAATGTATATTTGATTCTAGTTTTTTTTTATTCGTCCGTCATATATAGTTGCTTAATTATAATAGTTCATCAAATGCATTGCGTTTGTATTGCATATGGTGTGTATGAATATAATATAAACTTTTTAAACAATATCGCTATTTATTTTGCGTACTCTTAGTTATACTTTTTCAAATAATGCTACTCATACACATAAACACATGTAGTATAATAAATATATATTTAATATAGATCTGTTACTTCAGGTTCGAAATAAGATTTATGATATACGCTGAGTCTATACATACAATAATATCAGATTTTTTTTCTTTTTTTTTTGTGTGTAGTTTTTGTTTGCATCAGACATTACTGTCAAATATATCATGTATACGTGTGTGTATCACGAATTCTTATTATAACTTTTGCAGAAATTTAACACATTAACAATGCTCCTGTTTCCATATCTGTATGTACTTATAGCGTAATAAATCAGAAATGTACTTTGTAGTTATATGATATTTTTGGATTAAGTTAATGGTGTATGGTCAATCAAAGGTACTGAATTCTGGATAACTATTTTACTAAAAAAATTTACATTTCATTTCTTCTTAGTCATTCATTGTTTCTTGTAATTAATTGAGAAAATAATATCATTACCTTAACATCTTAGAAATAGCTAAACTCTATTTACATCTTAACTCTTTAATGTATCTCTGATTACCCTTCTTTATGTAAATATTTACTCGTTACATTTTCAAATCAATATGTAAGATTAATCATCTTCTTTTGTTTTGTTAATATCTCAATATTATCCCCTTTTTATATTCATAAACTATCATGAAATCCCCTTTAATCCACTAGCTATTCTTTCTCCTCTACTAATCCCTAAAATTGTATCAACCATCTCATTAATCAATCAGTGTGGTTTATTTTTAATTTTATATAATAAACAATGCTGAAAATATTTGGTGTACATATTTTCTACTATTTTCTTATTAGCATAGCATTAAAATAATAATATATAATTTTATAACATCACATTTCTATTCGAAATTTTATTTTGTCGATAAAATAGCTGAGCGAAGAATTGATCATATAAATGAATATGAAAGTTCAGATATTATTATAGTAACACGTCATCCCAAGTGGCAATTTCGATTTTAATTTTATTATTTAAGTGTCTAAATTCATATTTTCGAAATTAAAACACGATAACATTTTTGATATCAATAAAATAATGAATAAGCCGTTTAGTTATCTGAATTCGTGGAATGATGAAAAAATATTTTTGTATTTTTTGTCACTTATATACATGTATTTTTAGTATATTCAAATTAATGTTATGATTTCACAAAATCTTTTTCTGTGATTAAATACTGGTTTAGATTTGTATTTTTTATTTTCATGATTTTGATATTTATATTATTTTAATCAAATTCTTAAAAAAGATATCCTTGGAACGTTTCCATCAAAAAACCATTTCTCTTTTAGTCT